AACACTGGTCAACATTGTGATGATATAAACAACACACATGTCAATCTTTCTGAGGTAAAAAAAATAGCAAGTTTCATGGTATTATATAAAAAGCGATACAAGCAATCTGGTAAATTAATGATATGAAACATTAGCCTAGTGACTGAAACACTTGGATTTCAACTAGTACATCTCATATAAGTTCACTCGTCTTAACGGTCAAATAACATCGTAATTCGTGAGAGCAATATAACTGAAAGTTAAATATCTAAATCATAAAAGTAAATCAACTAAGGTTATAATATAATATATCACAGGACATTTGTGTTAAATCAATATTTATATGGTAGATAAATGGATAAAACAGTGAATAACCTTTACATAGAGTTTTGTTCTCTGAACTGGATGGTTTGGTCGTAGAACTTTCATCGTTCTTCTGAACGATATCATCAGAACAAACCAGATAGAATGTGTAAGCTTTATAATTACTCTTTTGTTAAGATTTAAGGTTATATATAAAGTCAACTACTGTTTATATAAATAAAATTTCCATGAAAATACAACTGTTGGATAGATTTGTAGATTGACATAAGCAATTAAAACAAATATGATGTTTACATATAAGTAAACTAACCCATTGTGTCATTGAATAGAAATAAAATGAATTCATTTATTTAATCTGTATATTAGCATTTATAGTTGTTTAGTTTCTAAACAGATCTTCAGAACATCATCTAGAGTAATTTTTGTTTAGAAGGTAAATGCAAAATAATTATGAATTCAACACCGGAGCACCTAATCCACTCTTTGAAAATATTCTTCATAATCAAAGGAACTAGATCAAAGAGAGGTTGGATAAAGAGAATTTATGTACTACTGAGACGTTGATGATCAACCAGTTCAAATCAAAACATTTCGTACAAAAATGATATATCTAACATTTATAACTTCCTTGGCAGTAATTCTCTTCTGAAGTATGTTTTAGTGTTGTTTTGTTTATATTTGAAGTCTCAAATTACTTTATAATGCAATCTTTCATATCTTTCTACAGAAATATTAACCAAATAACTATAAATGCTGATGTACAGCTCCGTTAAATGATTTCATCAGTGGCGTGTAAGCCAACTCGATTTAATCAAGCGTTAATCAATATTTATAGTCATACAAATACAGTTACAGACATGTGATGAATGGGATAAATAGGGCACACATATACGTTCATGCAAAAAACAGTCAGGGTTATGATAAGTGAATAATTCATAAGATACAAATATGACTTAAGAAGAATGGATAAATTGACCTGTCCAAAAGTTAGAATAAGTTATCTAAGCTTAACATAGTGACTTACACAACAGACTCATCAGCTGAATCTATTTGATACCTGTACTGAACATTAACACTAATATACAGATATATCCAGGTGACGAATTCCATATAAGACAATATATACTCTCTAATTATCACTGCTAACCACAGTTAAAAGTTTAAAACTTTAATTTGATTAACGCATTAGAAAGCTGTATTGAATAAAGTATAAACTTGATGTATAAGATAACAATCAATTCTAGTTCAAGTTAATAAATTGAATCAATAACACAATTGATTGATCACTGGGTGGTGATCAATATCATGTGGTCAAGTCCTTATTAGTGCAGATCGAATGCTATCGACCGAATTTCAATGTGGCCACTAGTCTAGGTGACTCAACACTGCGTGCACTATGTTGATCAATCAATCGTGAATACAACTCAATCCTACGGGAGGTCGGTCTCAGCCCGGAAAGCTCAGTGGTAAAGTCTCTGACTGTAAAGCTGGGTGCACCAGTTCCCTCAAAATTACAAGTACAACTTGCTGACGAATGCCAAGTAGCACGAAACTCGGATCCAGGGTTTCCTGTCGACTACCTCCAACCACCATCAAATAAATAACAAGACAAATTCAACTTCAAGTGAGTTACATCATTAATGAACCCTATTATTACAAAAACAAATTAATTCAATCAGTGTAACATAACAAAGCAGACCCAATAAAATACTTTATTTTATCAACATAGTGATAATACTGGGTAAATGGCATAGATGAATAAGAGTATAAAATTATGACTGAATATCTGTGTTTCTGTATTAAATTCAACTCCGCCTGGAGCCCCTTTGGGGTTACAGTCAGTCCCAAGCCCGCATAAAGAAGGAGGGTTGAGCATGAGGTTACCGACCTCATCCCGTAGAAAACTAACTCGGTAAAAAAAAACACTAACCAGAAAAGAAAATAATTCAAACCATATTAAGATTTATGTAAGCATTCATTGGAGTTCTGTTCATTAATAGATTTTGATGCATTAATATACATGACTAGTTTACTTGTTAATAAAGAATCTGTCACATAGTTGTGAGAAAATGATTCTATATGTACCAATCGAACAATCATTTCGTTTAATACTATTAAGTAAATTTATAATATCAACAAATTATTCTCAATATATCAATACCTTCTAGTTATTCCAATGATGGTAAGATTAAATACTACTTATAATAGAAGAATTTAGAAGTCTGTATTTGTCAACATTGAATATGAATTGATTTCTAAGAATGCCTAATAAAGACACTAAAAATATAAATTATTATCCTAGTTTGTTCTAGATAAAGACAACTCAGAGTCTACAGTCATATATGCATACATACACAGAGTTATGTATCATGATATCAAGTCATTTAATGAGTACAAATTTTCGCACAGTAAAAGACAAAAATACTTTGAGACAGTTCGTTCTGTTCTATTTTATAGTTGAGAAACGTAGACATTAGGAGTAGAAGATACTCATAAGCTACTAGAATTTGATCACAGATATCTTAGAAATATTACTCGCATCTGCCGGGTTCACCAGGTAGAATTAAATGCAGAGTATTAGGGAATGGTGGTAAACCAAATGATGTGATTGTGAATCTTCATCGACTGATTTGGTTGGGCAAAATGATATGTATGCCTGAATAAAAATTACCACAACGCACAATGTTGACTAATGTTGGGGATGGTAGAAAGAAAGTTAGGAGCGGCCAAACCAAAACGTGGTATCAATCTACAAAATCACTAACTTCTAATCTTAGCCATGTTAGTAGATACAGACTACTTGATTGAGGTCCGCGTGACTATCGTAACCAATTGGTTGGAGAGTCTGTGTAACATGGCTCAGAATCAATCACAATGGCGTAAGTGTATACACTCTTTGTTTGCCTTTAAACCCTGGGATTACAATTACTTTATACCTTCCTTTCTATGAATTAATTTTTTTCTCCCTGAATTATGTTCTTATATGCAATCTTTCTTTTATATATTACTACCATTGAAGTAACTACTTCTATGAATCTGGTGTTCGTTATTGTTGTGCTAATGAGTTATGACAACTTTGAGCGATGCATAAATGTGCCTAGTCCTACATTGTAACTAACTGACTGACTAAATGAGTATAAGGCCATTACTAAACTTTTAGTTAATTTCAAACATCTTACACTTTCAACATCAGTCAACAATTGATACGGTACAATTCTCATTCGATTTCATCAAAAATTCACTATCTTAATATTAGGTACACCTTAACATCACAACTGAAAGCCAATACAATGTTATGGATCTTATAAAATTCATTCAATAACTACTTACTAGTCAGTATACATAACTCACTTAGTAGTGAATGATAAAAAATCTCTATGAAATATTTTATATAAAAATCGATTCTTATATTCCCCTAAGTTCGATTATTGATTTATTGATAAATAGGTAATATTAAAATTAATATCAAAAGGGTTTTTTTTTGTGTATATTATAGTAATTTCAATAGTTGAAATCATGAGTCAATTAAAACTAGACCATCATAGAAAACCTGAAAACACTGAACAGCTGTTTCGTCCTACTGTGTGACTCATCAGCACTTCATATTTACTATCTCACCTCACAAAATTCTAACTCAAGGCTAATGTTTATTAAAATTCCAAAAACTGGAACAAAACAATTTTGTATTATCTTTTTGTTTTTTTTTATCGAATAACACTTTTTTTTCTTTTATTATATCTAACTTGATAAATAAATAAACAAAAAAAACAAAAAAAAATCTCAAAATTGATCAAATAAATATTTGAATAGTTTAGATCATGATTTCATTGAAGCTAGAGCACAATGAAAAGCCTGGAAACGAGACTAGTAGTTCCTGGGTTCGAATCTCGCTGGGGAGGGCGCGGGGTCATGGATGCTCAGTACCGAAGAATCCAATAATAGTACGAAACGTCCATCCAATGTTTCCAATTTTTCCATGGTAATCTAACTTCAATCGGCTTATGATTTTAATTATTGAAATTTCTAAAATCTCCACAAAACCCCTTCTGATACTAATCAACATACGCTCACTAGTGACTGACTTCATGAAGTATTTCCTGGAGTTCTAGTGAGAAGTAGTGACCAGTGGAGTTCAACCGGGTCAGTTGTAAGATAATAACTTAATGATAACAATGGTGGATATGTCTCTCAAATTTATGAATTAGTTGAAGTTGTACATTAACACTGTTGGATTCCATCTGACTTAGTGAATTAAACCTTAGGAATTCATGAGTGAAAATGATAAATCCTAAGTTCAAATCCCACGAAGCAAGGGACATGAATGTACACCGATAAAGAGTCCTATACTAGAACGTAACAGCCGTCCAGTTCTTCCAAGTTTTCCATAATGTTTTTGATTGAGATCATGAATCGACTGGTGTTAGACCACCGTTGAAAACCTGGAAGCACTGGACGACCGTTTTGTCCTAGTATGGGATTCCTCAGCAGTGCGCATCCACGATCCCGCTCGCGGGATTCGAACCCAGGGCCTTCAATCTTGCGCGCGAACGCTTAACCTACTGGACCACTGAGCCGGCATCCAATGGTGTTAGTGTCTAACATCAACCAATCCATAATGGTTTAACTTCAATGAACTCATAATCTTAATTATTGACATATATATATATATATATATATATAATATTTTATTCACTTACCAATTGGTACAAACATTGATCTTGATAAAAAAGGAAATGATAAAAAAAATATAGTACGTTCAACATCTACATTATATATTTGTTGATAAAATGATTGCATACATACTGATGATATTTGAAATGTCCAATCATCTGCAGCATATGTAAATAATATAGCATATACAGGACGTGATGTAAATATTTTATTCCATGGTATATGTGTATATGTATGATTATATAATATACGATTAGATATTGTTGATTTTAAATAATTCAATTCATTTTTATTTAATTTTTTATCTTTATTTGGTTTTTCATCAATTAATCTCCACCAAAATATACACCATATTAAACCTAAATTAGCATAAATATAAAATACAACACCCCAACCCCATTTTTTTTCAATTTCAGCACATACAGGTAAACCAATTAATGGTCCTAATGATACACCAATTACAGATAAACATACTAATGTTGAACGTTCATTAATAGGACTCCAAAAACGTAATATACCAAATACAGCTGGTATTAAACAACCTTCAGCTAAACCTTGTATTAATCTTAATAATATAATCATAATTAATTTTGCATTAATATTATTACCAATTGTTTCAACAAGTGGTAAAAATAAATTCATACCACATGTTATTGCTACTGAACTACCTAATAAAAATGATGAATCATAATTTACTGTTAAATAACCACCTATAGGACTTGTTATTAAATAAGCAAAAAATACAGAATTTTCTACAATATCATTTTTAATTGTTTCTGTCCATGGCATTTTACGATGTTCTGATGGTTTAAATATTAATGATGTAGATGGACGTATTGTTTCTATTAATCTATTTGAATCTGTATGTAATTCATGATCAATATCATTATCTTCTTCTTCTTCTTCTTCTTTTTGTTGTTGTCGTCGTTGTTGTTGTCGTCGTTGTTTTTGTTCTTCTTCTTCTTCTTCTTTTACTTGTTCTTCTTTCTTTGAATATATAGATCCATTTATATTTATAGAATTTAGTTGTTGTGATCTATTGAATAGATTTATATGATTATCATAAATATGATGATTATAATTTATTTGATATTTCATATTTGTTGTATATTTAATACCAAATGTAATACGTGAATTAGTATTATTTAAATTAGTTATAATACCTAACATTTCTGATCTCATACCAATAACAATAGTAAGACATGTACAACATAAAAATGCAATTAAATAACGTTTACGTCCTGGACCACAAAATAATGTATTATTTATTGTTGTTTTATGTCTATTCATAGAATGTGTATTATAATTATAATTCCATAGATTATAATCATTATTATTATTATTATTATTATTATTATTATGAATTCCATCTGAAATAGTTAATAATTGTCCATTCGTTTGAAAGATTTCATCAGTAAAATCAGTAGTAGTATTATTAGTATTAGTAGTAGTATTAATAATATTTGGTATATATTTTATATAATATTTATCATTTGGATATGTAATGAATGGATTTTTATTTATATTATTAATTTCTATAGCTGTTAAATTTTTTAATTGTGGTAAACCAGTTATAGATGGTGCTCTTAATGAATTACATGATTGTTGTAATGAAGAATTTGATGCTGTTGCTGCTGCTGCTTCTGATGATGATGATGATGATAATACATGACTAGTATTACTATGAAATGATTTGATTGATGTAATTTCACTATTATATAAATTCATTATCTATTTTATTATTATGAATAGATCAATACTGTTCTTCTTCTTCTTCTTCTTCTCCTTATTCTTATTCTTATTATTATTGATTTAATCAATAATCAATAATGGAATCAGTAATCGTTTCACTGAGAGAAAATCGAACATCTGATGAATACTCTATAATAAATCATTCAAATATTATGAATAAAGAGATTTTAGCCAATAAGTAATTGTAATTAATGTGATATTCCATTTTTTTTTTAATCTTTAATAGTTGTATTTCTCAATTGTTGTTGTTCTTGTAGTTGTTGTTGTTGTCTTTATCAGTAATAAACATAAATTTTATTATCCTAAAATAAGTAATAAACAAGTATAAGATAATTTATCACAATTTTCATGAGTAATTACTAAGAGTAATTCGATTTCTTTTTATATATATCCTTCTATATTATAATTCACTTGTTTATATCATTTCTATTATGTATATGTATATGTATATGTATATGTGTATATATGTGTATTGTATATAACACTATCTGTTTACAAGTCTTCTGAATATGATCCTTCTATTTTTTTTTATTTATTTTCCTTTCTTCGTTAATATAACTAGTCACTATGTCGTGTATCACATTTTAATAAGGGAATAAAACTAGTTTACAAATAAGAATAAAAAGATCGTTTTCAATTTATTGGTCATTTTAAGTAATAAATATTTGGATTAGATAAACAACAATCAGTGTTAATGTGATTGGTTAATATTTTCAAACACACACACACGTATATACGCACACACGCTCACACGCACTGACGCACATGTATATATATATATACAATTTTTCGTGAACAGACATATCAAAATTTGTCTGTCAGTTTATCTAATAATTTATTGGACAAATAAATCTATTGAATATTTTTTGCCTAGAGGATTATTTAAATCGTTTTTAAGTAGTATATATTCATTTTAGAAAAAGATATCATAGATCTTATAGAATATTAGTTATTAAAACAGAAATTCACAAATGAATTATTATCATATTTTTGATTAAAAAAAAAAGTATTTTAAAAACATTTTTTAAAATTATATTAGCGTGTTACTCCCAATGGAGTATAAGCCACTAAACAGCATTGTTCAAACTTACTCTGTCCAGGGCCTTCATTTCTAGTTCTATACAATTATTGTTTATTTTTCTCATGTTTGTCTTTATTTCGTAGCGTAATGTGTTCTTTGATCTTCCTCTTCTCCTTTGACCTTGAAGATACAATGTGAGGGCTTATCGTGTGACACAGTTGGGTGCTTTCATTGATATGTGTCCTATCCACTTCCATCGCTTCTTCCTAATTTCTTCCTCTACTGGAATCTGGTTTATTGTCTTCTATAGTAGTGGTTGTTGCTGATAATGTCTGACCAACAGATTCGAAGTATTTTGCATAGACAACTGTTAATAGACACTTGTATCTTCTCACTGTCCACTCGTGGCGGGGGTATTGTTTACGAAAATGAAACGACCAAAAGCGAATGTCTAGCACTTTAACCGGATCCCAAATCAATGGTGCACATGGGCTCCAGTTTCCTGAAGAAACAAATGGCGTATGAACCAATTGTTGGTCACTGGCTACCATAGGACTGCATCTCCTCACGATGCTCCACTGACTTGTGGGTTAGACATTTATGTCAAAGACTCCGGATGTGGCCACCTAAGAAAACCACCTACTTCGGTCTGGGCACCCGGGCAGTATCACCAGGTTTCCGCCCCATATAATAGAACTGTCTTATCATTTGTATTGAAAATTCTGAGTTTAGTGTTGGTTGACAGACATTTGTTTTGAGTTTCAAATATTCTCCAAATGTAGATATGCTATTCTTGTTTTGCCACTCTCTGAAAAAAATGCTAACTAGAAAAAAAGTTTCATTATATTAGTGGTTTAAATTTGCTAACATTCAAAGCTTTTCTAATCAACAATGGATGATAACTAACAATGGCATCCAAGATACACATTTTGTCCTATATTTTGATCCCACTGTTAACTACTATCCATCTTTCCTTAGAATACTTGTAACTTAAGACAAAATCAAGATAATTCGTATAAGATGCATATATTACTAACAAAAGATTGATCAATTACAATCTTAAATATCAATTGAGAAAATTTATACAAACAATAAAAACTAAAATCAAATATTTTGTTTCAAGATTTTCAATGAATCATTTATTAGTTCTATAAACTTGATATTTACTTTAACTATCAAATTAAGATAGATAATCACGTTTCTTTGTTCAATATAAGATTTCTAGAGAGAAATCAAATGTCTTGATCGATCTAAAATATCATGATGATCATAAGAAGGAACAAAAGGTGTTGATGGTTGATAATAATAATAATAGTAATAATAATAATAATAATAATAGTAATAATAGAACTATATTGGATATGGACATTTTGATCTTTTCTTTTAATGTATATGATATTAGGAAGACGAGATGATGGTGCTTGTTATCTCCTAGCGAACATTAATTGACGAGTAACTTCTGAGAACTATTAGTGGACTAATATTATCTATATATTCTCATGATGCAACTATTCAGTAATTAGATTATATATATATATATATATATATATATATATATATATATATATATATATATATATATATTCCTCATATTATAAGCTTTATTTTCATCTATAATTCATTATCATACAATTTACTGTTCTTAAGTAATGTTCAGTTTACTGACAACAGTCTCCCACATTTTCAGGCAGTTTTTGGCTTGGTCTTGTATAAATGTTATTTCCAATTTTATGGTGTGATGCAACCTGTTTGGCTAGTATGTAAACTAACTATGTTTGAAATAAATGATTTACATAGCGGAAGCTGTTATTGGTGTTCTGGACTCAGTTGGAAGGGCTAAGTGAACAAAGGACCAATAAGAACGTTAGGCTAGGTTTAGCACAGTACAAAAGTGAATAAGTCGTATTTCGATTGATGAATAAATTACATGATAACTAGCCAAATTTCAAAGTAAAAACAGTGCTTTTCAACATATTAATTACTATCTAATTGTTACTGTTTAATAATCACAGTTACTCAATTAAATCTACCTCATAAGCTATTGCAACACAGAATATTAATGATGATAAGTTACAATACCTTACTAGTACTTTCATATCTATAGTATTAGTTAATTGATATCCTTATTCAGAATCTGAATGGTAAATGTGTTGGTTCTTTGAAATAAAAGGTATCTCAGTGTGATTATGAAAACGGATACATGTATACCAACTGATAAGTCTGGAAGATACCGAATTATACATCATAGATTGCAATACTAACCACAATCCATCTGTCTAGCGGTATAGGATGTACATATTACAATAGAGGTTGCTAAATTATACACTTGAATATCAATAATGAAAAATTGCAAAGCCTTAATAAAGCAAAATCAAATTCAATTGTGTTATTCAGGTTAATATTAAAAAGATATTGTTTTAAAATTCAGAAACTGCGATAATATGTAATTATTGTACTTTACATATATGATTAGGTGAGTTATGTAACGTAATATTATGAGGGTTAATGTGAACTGTGTTATAATGTGAAATCTGCCTATTAGAGAGCAGCCTATTATCGATCGAAACAGTGACGCATAAAATACGTGCGAGCAGCCTAGAGTCCTGATTGGTCCTGCTTCCCTGTCTAGCCCAGCCAATTGAGTCTAGAACACAAGTCTCAGCCTCGGAGATATAAATCATTATACTACAAACATACTCTGTTTATATAGCAATCAAACAGACTACATCGTACCATAAATAGAAAGTAACATTTGTATAAGATTTAACCTTCAGGAAATGACACAAATAAATATTGACCAATAGGGAAATAACACGTTGGAAGAATGTTGACCAATGGGGCAATGACGCTATTTCTCATTCAGGAATAGCACTAGATAATTTCTGGGGTATTTTCTGAATACCCCAACAAACTGCTCAGTCAATCTTCTGACATTTTAACTGGTATATTATTAGTATAATTTAGTGAGAAGTCGTGACCAGTGGAGCTAATCCGTATCACGTACAGACAAATATCAACCTCAGTACAATAGAAGATGGTTGAGCAATTTCGTGGATTGATTGAGGTTAGACATTAACATCATTGAATGGCAGCTTGGTAGTCTAAAGGTCAAGTGTTCGCACGAGAGACCAAAGCACCTGGGTTTGAATTCCACGAGCGAGACCGTGGATGCGTGCTGCTGAGTAGTCCCGCAATAGGACAAAGCGGCCGTCCATTGCTTCCAGGTTTTCAATGATGGTCTAACATCTATCAGTTAATGATTTCAACCAAAAACATAATATTTTTCACAACCCCATACTGACTAAACTTTATTAAAAATCTAAATTGTGACTTACTGCAAGTCCCAGATCTATGTCTAATAAAATCTTGTTCATATTAATGTGTAACTTCTGTTATGACAAAACTGTTGTTATTCGATGGATTCAGAACCCACATATTTAAATGTCACAATAAAAGATATTTTTATTAAATCAT